GAGGCGGACGCAGAGGGCAAATCTCAGCTAGGCGCCCGCGAGGGCATTCTCGGCAACTTGTCGCGACGGGTCCCAGTGGCACCCGGGGTTGCGATCTTTGCCTAAGCGACCAGACCTTGGTCCACGTGCAAGGGGAAGCCACAGCGGGATGTCTAGGCAATTGTGGTTTAGCCAATGGCTATAGAACCCTGAATGGCACCTGTTACGCTTAGATTTTGTTGTTCCGAACAGGTTACCGGTTTGGGTGACAACCCATGTAGTTCCTTAGATATCCTTGTGCATTGATTGGTGCTATGCAGTTGCTTCTCTTTTTGGGGGGCAGTGTTCCTTTGAAATCGGCCAAGCAAAAAGATAGTCCAAAACCATTAGGCGAAGCATGGTGGGCGAGTTAGAATAGCTCGCTGATCTGGGGGCATGACCAAGGTTCCTGCAGGATTCCTGATTTCCGGCTTGTAAAGTTTAGTAAATTGCCAACTATGACATGTTTCTCGAACTCCTTCATATGTCCTGGGGGAACACGGATAATGATTGAAAAAAGTGCTGTGGGAATAGAGCAGCAACTCAACCCTACAATGGTCTATGATTGTGGCCCCTTTACTTGTGGCTTCTAAAGGAAGTGACAGACGGTGAACTTGGACAGTTGTTCACCCTTGAAAAGGAGCTTCCCACAACTGAACAGCAAGCCCATTACACCACAGTTGTCCTTAATCCATCAGTTCTGGCTTGTTCATACTTGGTTTTCGGGAAAGTCTGAAGGATTTCAATATCTGTCAGGTGGAATAATAGCGATTCGGTCATTATCTCATGAAGGACGGCAACAATAAGGTTGTGCTGTTTTTCACAACACCCATGTTTTTTTTGCGTGCTGGATGCAGCACGTGTTGGTTCAAACAGAACGCAATGTAAGACTGTCATTTGATTGTGTTCTCCGTTTTTAGACAAGCCCTGGCTGTTTTTCCATGGCCCAAGCTGAATTGCGTTCTTGGTTTCAACCGTTGGCGTCTAGGGATTGACTAGATTATTGTAGTTGTGAGACGCGTGTGTTCTGAATGTGTAGCATGCAATCGCCACTTAGCACATTCGACTGTCTTGTGTCAGCCTTTTTTGGGGTGGGTTGCCCTTCCAAATCGACTGAAGTTGGTGTCCACCCGGAAATCCACGATAGGAGGCGGTCCCGGTCCCTTTCGCCAGCCATTTGGCCCCTTCACCGGTCGATTCTCGCGCTGCATGGCGCTGGAGCGGCTGGGAGCTCTGCCGCCGCAGCCTTTCGGGTGCCTTTCAGAGATCTTCCGGCAGCTTGGGGTGGCGGAGGAGGAGCTCCGAAATGCCTGGGCCGTGTCAGGCTATGAACTAAGAGCCGCTTCAAACGAGAAAAAGTGGTGGACACGAATCGGGACCCACCTAAATGATGTCCAGCAAAGGGTCTCTAATTGAATCACTTGATGTGAGTGGCCAAAGGGAATCCCCCGTTTTGGGAAGTGAGGAAGCCGTAGTGATGGGAATCCCGTTTTAGCATCACGGTGCCTGTGATGTTGATGCCATCTTTGTTTCAAATGGCAGCCAAGCGAGTCATGAGTGTTTGTGAAGCCAACTGGGGGAGGCAGTTTGTGGCTATTCGTCCAACACAGGGAGCCTCGGGGGAGGTCTTTAGAGGACCATTTGCCGTCGGTAGAAATACCCGCTAGTTAGTTGTGCAGTCCGTCTTTGCGGGTTGTCCGATATCAGACCTCCTTTTCGAGTGGGTGGGAGTGTATCTTCTAGACTTGGTGAACAACATTTTGCAAGGAGTTGAATCCTTGCAGCGGACATCAAGGAAATACTTCTGCTTGGGACTGGTGTATGTCACGTTGAGAAGCTTCGGCCAACTTGTCAGGCTGGTCAATCGGAAAAACATGAATTCGACGAGCCAAAACTACTTAAACCGTTCAACTCTGGGTTCCAGGCTTGTTGTCCAGGTAGGATTAAAAGCTTTGTGCAGTAAACAAACCGAAAGGAGCTCGCGTCGGAAACAGAGCCCCGCAGTACCATGTTTGCTGTCAGCCTTTGATATGTGCCTACAAACGCTTGGGGTTACTCGGGATGGTCATGCGAAGAGGGCTTTACCTCGAGTTTCATTACTTATTCATGCTAATTTCCTAAGCATGACACTGTCTGACTTCCAAGTATGTATTTCCAAAGATGCGGAAGACCAAGAATCTCTGTTGGTCTGCCTTTGACTGTGTGTCCTTCTTGGACAGCCACAACCAAATAAGAGCGCCCCGCACGTGCCACTGGCTACGGGCTGCTGCAGAGGCAGGCGCCCTTGCTTATAAAGATTTGTTGCGTTTGAGGTAACTTTGTGGGAGTGCAATGTGTAGAGAGTTGTTCAAAAGTTACACTTGAAAATGTGTCCAAGGGTTTACAGAAAGCACAAGGAAACTAGCAGCCAATTCACGATTTGGCAGCGGTACCCTGATTTGAAGCACAGCCGTTTTTCAGTCTTCATTATCACAAAGAGTTCCTGGATAGAGCAGAGAGCCACCACTTTTTTTTGAAACATTGAAACATGGAACACGAGCAATTAGGGGCAGATTTTGGTTTTCATTGACGCCACCAATGCATCCCGAGTTTAGCCCATGTGCTGGATTGTGCGTTGCATCAAAGGCCAGTCTCACCTGCATTCCCAATTGTCTTCTTTGATTGTTCCTGAATTCCTCCTTTTTTTACGTGCATGTTCTTCGCGTTTCCAGCTGGTTTCCCTTGCTTTCCTAGAGCAGTCTCTTATGACAAATAGCCAAGTAGCCAATTACTGGTTTCCGTGGCTGTGGGGAAAGGCAGCATTTCGTCCCCCCCTGTTTCCCGGATGTGACGGTCATTTTGGAAGGCGCTCTGGTTGTCTCGAATGGAACGAAAGGATGCGTCACCCTTTCTACCCTTAGCCCTAGTTTTTCAGTGGCACCCTTTTTTCCTCTTTTGGTTTGTACCCACCAAACACGATCAAGCCGCTTTGGACCGGCAGGAGCTGAAGTTGCTGGTGGTGGCCGCAAAAGCGCAGAGGGAGGAATCCGGAATCTCCCAGTTTTGCGTTCCAATTCAATGGATTGCAACACGCAAAGCACCAGCAAGCCTAATATTCTTGACTCCCCTCCTCTACTTTGCAAATTCCTCTACTTGATAGGTTTTAGTAGGCCAATCCACTGGGAAGCCGACAGTTCGGGGACTTGTGGCCAAAGGATCCGCTCTTGAAGCTTGGGCCTGAAGCAAAGCCGCCGGAGGACGGGATGGTGGACTGCGGCCAGATGGTCACGTGGCTGTGCACAGAGACAGCCCACACCGAGGACAGGAAGCCGACGGGTGGGCAAAGATGCCCAGAGAGGCCAACAGGGGCCTTCACAATGAAGGAGCCCAAAAACGGCTGGTTTCTTGTTGGCTCCCCTGTAAGACCTTGAAACATCAACTGAAAGGATCCCTAATGTTTGTACATCCCAAACTGAGCATGAAAGACATGAGTCTTAGCAGCCAGTCGAGGTTTGTTTTGAGGCCAGATGGGTATTCACCACCACGGAATGTTATCCGGGTTCAGCGAGATGTCATCCGTGGCCCCTCATGTATGCGGCCAGTTCTTTGACCGTGTCAAGAGGTTGCAAATTCGAAGCATCGCTTGTGGTTGTGGAGGCGGCAGTTCTTGTGTGTTCTTCACTCTGAGGTTTTTGGACTTGATGCTTGGAAAGGCCATGATGGTAAAGAAGCTTTATGAATGTCGGTTGAATATGCATTTTCTGTTCTTCTTAGATATAAAGACGTCAGGACGTGATTTGGTGGCTTCTGACGATTTTTCGGCTTCGCGCGGGCGATGCCGATGGGCGCAGGCGTCAGAGCTGACGGAGCAGACATCATCCAGCCACTGGCTGGAGAAAGATGAAATCTCGGCATTCCAGCTTCCAACCGAGGCTGGGAGAAACTCTCCCTATGGAACCTGACTGAGAAATGGACCGTTTTCCTGAAGGGACTCTCTGGTGGGTTCCATGTTGGTGGGTGGGAGTGTAAGTGGGTTCTCAACAGTGGGTGTGTTTTTTGCTTCATGGAGAGCTGGCCATCGCTTTTGTTTCTGCCTCCAACTCTTTCTTTCCTCTTTATTTTGGCTGAGCGTGCAATTTTCAGTAATCTACATGGATCACGCCGCTTCAGCTTATGACCTAACCTGTTCCAAAATATGCTAAAACCACTGCCATAAGTACATGAACAGCTAGCTTGTAGCATTCATGTTGTACCGTGAGGGGCATCGCGATATCAGTTTTCGGTTGATCCTTTGGATCAAATATTTTGGGAACTGCCCTCGGGAGCTGTCCTATATTGTCTTATATACGTGTAATGTAGGCACTAATTTTGACTCATATTCCCCTTAAATAGTCCTTATATTTCATGGGTTACATATTCTATGCAGTCACTGGCCCCAGTCAACATGTTCCATCCTGCCATCTCACTTTGTCTGTCAGCCTGGGAGCCTTCAAAAGGTGTCAGTCTGTCTGCCAAAGGCCTTGAGCCAGCAGTGGCAGAGGGGCCTTCCCCAAGGTGTCCTTTTGGAAGAATAGATGGCATTGACCAGGTTTGATTGACAAATCGCTTGAACAAAGTGGTGGGCAGGTCCCGCAGCCATGCAGCTGTAGTAACGAACTTCCTTTCAAATTCCGTGTGCTGACTTCCAGTACCTGGCTCACTTCAGTTGTTGGCTTGTTCGAGATCCAGCCAAACCCAGCCCTAAGCACCCCCCAAAGATAGTAAAACATAGGGGGTAAGTTAAGACACCACGTGAATTTGCAGGTTTTTGAACTTACCTCGCAAGTTTTGAGGCCGGCCAAACAAAATCAAGAAACCGTTTTGAGCCCCCCCCCTCAAACAAGCCCTTGGTTCTCAGCCCACCTCACCAAAACAACGGCGGAATAAACGACTATAAGGTTTGTGGGTTCCCCAGTCATAGAACGGCCTCTGCCCACAAAGAACAAGCACAACAACCGTGAAGAAGGTGTGAGGGTCGTTGCCAAAAAACAGCAA